AAACCTTCTATTAGAGACAACAAACTCCAATAATCAACAGAGGCTATGAAATTCTCTAAATTATTTTCCTGAATTTTATTAACCACAGTGTTTCAGAGAGATGTAAAACAGATACTTAAAGAACAGCTCTTTGGGGAGTTTGCTCTTGCTTTCATATCATGTGGATCTTTGTCTCATCAGCATTCATACTTCCTTATTTCAGTAGTTTCAGTAGCCTTGTAGAGCACAAACATTATGTTGAAATGCTACATTGCATACATTATTAATTCCATAAATGAAATGACTTTTCACATATACCACGTGTACAAATTTCCAACGTATTTGTAAGGTGAAAGGCAACTCTAGAGCTACTTTGTATATCTTTTGTATATCCTGGTTTTTAGAATTTAATCGCTTGTCACTTGAGGGGGAGAATGTAGATATATAACCATTAGAGTAGCAAAGTTAAGTTCCTCCTGGAGATCCAAAATAAGTCTTGTTAAAAACACCTAAAGCACAGTAATCAAATGAATGTATACCATTAACTTCATTGGCGCTCAGAAGTTTGTTTGGCCTTGTTACTCTGGGATGAAATGCTTAGGAATTAGTGAAGTAGTTTATAATGGGTATGGAAGGAAAGTGGATAAAGCAAAACAAAAGAAGAGTATTGATGAACTACTTATTAAAAGGCTCTGCACTTTCTATATTTAGGAAAGTCTATAAAAAGCGTATATGAATTCACAGTTCTTTATCATGTAAAAATCTGTCTGGATTCTAATTTATTGAACATCCTCCATTTCAGCCATACCTCTTATTTTGTGTTTTGACATTGATAGCCAATGAAAATACAATTTAGGGAACAAAAGTACTAATTCCAACACTTACATGGAGAGGCAAAAGACCAGAATAGTCAACAAAATATTGATGGAGAAAAAGAAAGGCAGAGTATTGATACTACCTGACTTTAAGACTTACTCTAAAGCTAGCATAATCAAGGCAGCATGATGTTGGTGGAGAATAGGCAAACAGATCAACAGAACAGCTAAAGAACCCAGAAATAGATAAACAGATACACACACATATGGTCAACCAATGTTTGAGAAAGGAGCAAATGGAATACAATGGAGCAAAGATTTTTTTTTTTTTTTTTTTTTTTTAAGATTGTCCTGGTGCCGTCTTGTGCTGGAGGTTGCTAGGAGAACCCAGCCTGCGCATGTGCCGAAACCTTGCTCCTGTCCTCTGATGTGCGCCTCACAGGTGCCTCAGAGATAATCTTTTCAACAGATGGTGCTAGAACAACTAGACAACCACATATAAAGAAAAGAAACTAGACAGAGATCTTGTATCTGTCATAGAGATTAACTCAAAATAGATGATAGATCTAATTGTGAAATGCAAATCTATTCAACTCTTAGTAGATAGGGCACCTGGGTGGCCCAGTCTGTTAAATGTCTGCCTTCAGCTCAGGTCATGATTCCAAGGTCCTAGGACTGAGTCCCACATTGGGCTCCTTGCTCTGTGGGGAGCCTGCTTCTCCCTCTCCCCCCTGCTCATGCTCTCTGTCACTATCTCTATCTCCTTCAAATAAATAAATTCTTAAAAAAAAAAAGAAAGAAAGAAAGAAAAGAAAAGAACATAGAAGATCATCTAGATAACTTTGGGTTTGGCGATGACTTTTTAGATATATCACCAAAGGCACAATCCATGAAAGAAATAACTGATAAGCTGGACTTGATTAAAAATAAAATCTTACACTCTGTTGAAGACACTGCCAAGAGAATGAGAAGACAAGCCACAGACTGGGAGAAAATATTTGCAAAAAACATATCTAATAAAGGAGTGTTATCCAAAATATATATATTTAAAAAAACCCTCTTAAAGCTCAGCAGCAAGAAAACCAACAACCTGATTAAAAAATGGGCTGAACACCTGAACACACATCTCACTGAAGAAGAGATAAAGATGGCAAATACACATACTAAAAGATACTCTGCATCATATGTCATCAGAGAAGTACAAACTAAAACATCAATGAAATGGCACGACATAACTATTGGAAGGCCAAAATCCAGAACACTAAAAGCACCAACTGGGGAGGATGTGGAGGAACGGGAATTCTCATTCCTTACTTCCGAGAATATAAAATGGCATAACCACTCTGGAAATCAGTTTGGCAATTTCTTACAAAATTGAACATACTCCTATCATGAATCCAGCAATCATACTCTTTGGTATTTACCCAGATGAGTTAAAAACCATGTCCACCCCAAAAGCTGCACACAGATGTGTATAACAGCTTTGCCAAAATTCGGAAGCAACAAGTGAATGAATAAACAGACTGGTACATCCAGACAATGGAGTATTACTCAGTGCAAAAAAAAATAAGTATCAGGCCATGGAAAGACATGGAGGAACTTTAAGTGCTTACTGCTAAGTGCAAGAAGCCAATATGAAAAGGCTACATACTGTATGTATGATTCCTACTACACGACAGTTGAGAAAAGGCAAAAACAATAGAGACCATAAAAAAACAAACTGAACATAATTTTTTAAAAAAAGAACACAGTCAGTGGACATTATAACAGAAAACTACATAAAATCTAAATATATTAGATGAGTAAACATATCAATTATTATGATATATCAGCTCAATGGAAAACTGCTCAGCAATAAATGTGTACTTTGAAGGCAAAAACAAACGAACAGTTCTTGCCCTGAGCTAGTGGGTAGGGATGGATAATTAGGCTGAACACAGAGGACTTTCAGGAAAGCAAAACAACTCTGTATGATGCTGTAACGGTGGATATATGTTATTATACATCTGTCAAAACCCACAGAATGTACAAACTAAGAGCGAACTGTAGTATAAACTATGGACTTTGGATGATAATGTGTCAGCGTAGGCTCATCAGCTATAACCAGTGTACAGCTCTGGCGCAAGATGTTGATGATAGGGCTCTGCATGTGTGGGGGCAGGGATATGGGAAGTCTCCCCCCCCCTCCTTCCCTCCCTTTCAATTTTGCTGTGAACCTAAAACTGCTTTAAAAAATAATTTATTAAAAATAGTACTAAATCAGAGTAATCTTAAATTTTATTAGTTTCCAATAATCAAGGGGTACTTACTTCAAAATATTTGTTTTTAAATCTTACTAACCCATCACTGGAGTGTGCAGGTATATGTGTATGTGTGTGTCAGAGTGTGTCTGTGTATAAGATAAGACAATAAGAGCGTTATCTTTAAAATTTTCTCACACTCAAATGATATTCAACATTAACATGTCAAAAAATAAGACGTGTTCCTAGCAAGATGCTTTTATAAAGTTACCCTATTAAAAACACATTTTTTTTTCTTCAGAGTCAGATTACCAGGAAACTTTGTAATTAAAAAAAAAAATTACTTATCCTCCAAATGAATGTATTTTATCTTACTTTGTTGAAGCTTCATGTCAAACATCAAAAGAAGGCATGTTGAATAACCAAGATCTAATTATAAGAATGCAATTTAATTGTGTGCAGAATAACACGATCCAAAAAACTGTCTTGTCTCTTAACCAAGGAAATGGTAAATTCTGGAAGGAAAGTATCATAATAACAAAACAAACTGAAAACACCTTAGCCCAGCTCCAGTTACAGCATAGGAAGCAGACTATTTTTAACTCTCTCTTTGGAAACCTTTTTTCTTTTAGAACTTCCAGCCATTCTACTTAACTGGTCCCTTGAACTTGCCCTTCCTTTGCATGGCCACTGACTCTGTCCTACATCTTTATCACCTTATGAGTAAATTAATCAAAAAAAGTCTAATTGGTCTTCATACACCTAGCACCTCTTCTCGCTAATGCAGAGTTGGCTGTTACAAGATTTAGACTCCTAAATTCACCATATAACTGTGCCTTATGCAAAATAAAACTGATTCTTTTCCTAACCAGATCACGTTATTTTTCCAACTTTATATTCCAATGCTTCACAACAGACTCCATTATTTCACAAGTTTATTGTGTACTTAATTATGTCCTTGACTCTGTTCACTCTAATAATGCAATAATATTTCCTTCTGTTTGGTTTTCTCTGTCGCCATCTCCATCTCTCTGTTCCTGTCTCTGACTCCTTCTCTTTTTATTCCTGAAGAATAGCTATTCTGTTCTTCAAGTCTAGTTCAAATGTTAGACTTTTAAGTCTTCTTTGCTAACATGAAAACAAATTCTACACTCCTGACATATACCCCCTTACTATGTGTCTATGTCCTAGCTAGTTGTATATGGGTCTGTTTCTACTGTAGAACCTATGCATTCCTTTAATAAAGCAGTGATTGGCCTTCTTCATTTTTCTGTCTCCAATATCTAACAGTAGATATTCAGTAAGACAGGTTATTGCTTATTTTTGTATTACATATTTTTACACATTTATACATATGCATGCCTGAATTTGGCCTTTTGATCACTTGCACTTTCAAATAAATTCTATTTTTTAGGTTTTACATCTGAGATTGTATTAATAAAAGGGAAATGTTGACTGAATTCATAAAAATGGCATCTGTGATTTGTGGTGGGAGGAGCATTAAGGCATGTCGTCTCAGCCAGCCTTCTCTTTCTCTGGTAGGCCTTTTAACTACAGAAGGGACTTAATGGCTCCTTAAATACATCCAACATTTATTCTTCCACAGTACTGCCCAGCAGCCATTTAGCACTTCTGTTGGTAGCTTTCTTACCTGAAATTCATCAACAGTACTATGAATCCTTACTGGTCTCTTCAGCTCAGCAGAACATAAAAACCGGTAATTTGTTCATGACCACACATAAGCAAGTGCCAAGTTCAAATATTTGCTTTTTCAAGAAAGAGAGTGAGCTAAAATAATATGGTACAGAAACAAAATTCAAGTTGGTGAACCGAGTAGCCATTATTAAAAAAGTGGAAGCATATATCCATCGGAAAGATTTTACCGAGGCTCCCTCCTGTCTAGGGAAAATGTTTAGTTATGTGTTCCATTGTGCCAAGGACAGACTGGTCCTTTCCAGACACTTACCCTCTGACAGCATGAATAAGTCTCAATGATGGATAGGCAGTTCGCACTTTCAGTTTATTCTTAAGGATTAATGCATTAACCCACTCCACGTGCTTCTCTCCTCCTTTGACCATGAAAGCAGGGATCCAAAGGACACTGTCATTCAGCATGGAAAGTCTATGCACAAATTTTTCTCTGTCACTCTCATTCCGAAAGCCTCCAAATGCTCTTTGTACAACTGATGGGTTCATGGTAATAAAATCTGATTTAGTTCCCACATCTGCAGCAAACTCCACCACAGGGGCTAGATTACACCTGAAGAGGAAAAAAATTAACGGACAAATGAAAAATAAATACAAAACAGTCACTCCTAAAATGGTGCGCATCAAAAGAAGAATGGAGAACAAGCATTTTCTTTTCACCAGGTTGAGAAAAAAAAAAAAGATAATCTGCCTGGTAAAATTATATTTCAGAAAGTTACCACACATTCAGGAATACTGTCTTCAATAATGATGTGCTTCCCTAGTGTAGGGCTCAAATTGTCAGATTAATTGAACCTATTGTCTGAGAATACTCTTTGCTGTTTGTTATCTTCATAAAACCACATGATATGAATTCCATTCCTAAGAATTGGAACTTGATGTTCCAATCTGCACAACTTGTCAAGCTTAAGTAGTCTTAACAACTTTATAAACAAATCAAGTGAACGTGGCTTTTCTGTACCCTGAGGTCAACTGAAAGTATAATTCCTTATAGTATTTTCTACAAACATATTTGCAATTGCCCTCTACTGCCCTAAATGGGAAAGGAAAGTTAGAAAAGTGGAATTATCACATTTAATATGGCTTTTTGAGATGTTAAATAATTCAGAAAAGCCTTTACGACCAAGTATCTTTCTGTTCTTTTTGAGCACATCCTTACGATGCCTATTTTCCTTTGCTAACATGCCACATATGCCTTGTGCTTTGTGGAGGAGGGACAGAATCTGATGTCCTGTTCTTTCCACTGAAGCTCCAGGGCCTTACAAAGTGCTTACACCCGATTTTATTCTTGTGACCTGATTTCATTCTTATACTGAAAGGGAGCTCTGACAAGCACCTTGAATTTTGTCTTCAACCAATTTGTGATGCTTCTTTGATTCTACCACACAGATCTTTGGATTCTCAACATAAAAGATAGCTTAAAATATTTTTAATTTGCTAAAAACAAGGCAAGTTTTAGTTAGTTAATAAGTGAAAAGTCAGATTTGTAACAAACAAGAGTTTGCTAATTTGGAAAAAAATCATTTACATCTATTCAGTCTACGCCTTCAAGAAAACACACACGCACACATGCACACGATTTCTTTTTCTTTCCTTGTATCAGCCTTTAATGAAAAAGAGAAATAAACTGATTTATCTTTTCTGTATTTTTGCAGGTCTGACTGCATTATGAAAGTTTCTCACAATATTCTTCCTTGTGCTCTTTGCCACTTTAATTAAGCTCTCAAACAAGTTAGATTTAATTAGAGTAAATCTGCTATTAAAAATACTGGCTTGTATATCTTTCCTTATTTCTTTTAATTAATATATCTTATTACTTTCTAGATCTCTGACAGCATTTAGCCACCACAACAAACACCTCACACAATTAAGCAAAGTCTACATTATTTAGGACGAGGTCCTCAGAGAAAAAAAACAACAACAAAAAATAGCATATTATTTAGAAACAATTTTTTAAGTTATATATATTTAATTATACCCCCATATCATATGATACAGTTTTTGTTCTAGCCATGATCTGTACATTATATGACACTAGGTATTATTCATTCCCATCAGAGTAAGAGTATTATGAATGGGACTGCCTTGGGAAAATAGCTACATGTGAACAGAAGCCAAAATGAACATCTTACTGTGGAATTCACGGAAGATCGAGGACATGCTAATTTTTCAAGTCCAGAACTGTATTCCATACCAACTTTAAAAATAATCTAAAATTCTAACCAACTTAAATATGAGATGAATTTGGATACTGTGGGGAAAATGCATTTTGAACATCACTATTCCAGACACTTCTCCTTCCTCAGGTAAAAATAGACAACACTTGTTAACGTTAGAGTTAACATGATATAATCTTTCCACTAAAACAATTCCTCAGCAATTCTTTTCAGAGGATTTCTATATTAGACAAATACATCTATATTTCATTTTCTCTAGAACTATAAGAATAATCAGAGCCAACCTAGTTAAGCAGAACAAAAATAACATTCTACTGCATTATCTTTTCAAGGGGAAAAAAAGTCACTTGATTACATTTTTCATTACTTTTTCTTATCACTTATTGAAAAACGCCTTTACTCCCATGTTGGTTAACACTTCAGGATTTTAGGATTGACTTTTAGGATTGACTCAGCATGCTCCTAAAACATAACTGTCTGGCCACGTGTCTTTTAAGAACAAACAAGAGATTCATCAGTGAAATTGGATATTGAAAGACAGGTACTTTCCACTAGGAAGCAAAAGTAAACTAGAAGAATAAGAATATTTCTGGAGAACAGTATTGATCTGGGAGACAAACCAATGTATATGATGCAAAGAATGCTAAATGATTGTATTGATAACTAAAAGAGCACTAGGAGATCAAAGAGTAATTGATTCACATGAACTTGACTGAAGAGTTTTTATGACCTAAGCATAGCCCAATCAAGCTTTGTGAGGGATGGAAACAGAGGTACTGAAAATAGCATGACAGAGGGACACATCCTAAAATATAATGTATGCTAGCTCTAGGAATCCAGTATATTCGTTTTCCTTGGGATTATTATGTCTAATTTTTCACTGGAAGGAAAGATTAACATTGTGTCCACATGTGGTCAGTGAATTAACTACTCTGTAGTTGAGTCAGATATTTAGTCATATAATTAGCTGAATGCCACATAATCAGGGCAAGCATTAAGAAACCCAAAATAACCAACCAGCTGTGTCACACTCCAGCAATTCAGTAGACTTATTGTGAACTTCATAGCGTTACTAGTAGTAAACTGCTGATTGAGCAAGATTATGAATAGATGTGCAATCAAACATTCTTCCTCTTTCTCTTTAAAAACCTTCTTAGGGATTATAATACTCAAAAGTATCCAGGATGTGTAGTAAGCATTTATGAATTAACATATTATTTCACATGTTATTCTTAATCCCATAAAACTGATGAGTGGCAAATTTTTAAATGATGGATTTTTGTAAGTCAAAACTATGGAGTACATAAGAGTATTTAAGACATTCAACCTCTATTTCTTTGGCCACATTAAATTTTCATACTGTCCAACTATTTTTGACATATCAAAAACATGAAAACATATATTCAGAATTAGGAATGTAGGCCAAACCCCTGTTTACTCTAAGCTGTCCAATTTTAAATTTATTTGTGTTTATTTTCCATCATTAAAAACCTGCAGGAATGTACTCTAGACCTCTGAAATTTCTTCTGTGATCACACACCAGATGGGATCGCCTCTCAACATTTCTTTTACACAGAACTGAAGATAGAAACGTTCATTTCTTTTAAGGCTATATAAAATGTTTTAAAGTAATTTTCATTTTAATTCATTTAAGTTTTTTAAGAAAAGAACTGCTTATTTCGTGTATAACACCTAAGGAATTCCCTAGGAAGATGTGTCTCTTAGGTGTGTCAACATTCTCTGCATTTCCCTTAAGTATCAGCTCAACAGTCAAGCAACTAGGAGGTCCCTCTTCCAATAGCTCAGCAGATAGGTCTTGAGAGTTCATTGTGCAAATACTATATACTAAATGCTCAGAACTCATTTTCCAACTATTTTACTATTTGTGCTATTTTACAATGATATAATCTGGCCAAAAAATAATCTTGACCATTATTTAGTCATATCAGTAAGATAATGTTCATTCATTTAGCCATGCGTTTATTCATCCCATAATGTGTGTTATACACTTATGCTAGCTATAGCATACTAAGTCATCTGAGATGCTAAGGTAAGACCTTAGTATATCACAGTGTGCACTGTAATACAGGAGGTTGTTAATTACTTCTTTACACATATAACACAGATTAAATGAGAAGAAAACAATAATGAGTAAGTTACAGACCACTCTATTGTTTTTCACCACTTAATGTTTAAACAACTTCCAAACACCTCATTAACACCCTTTTACTCTTTTGGCCAGTCTCACTGTATGTGTATTTCTCTGTATTAACACTGAAATCTTTCAGCCTTAGCCATCGTTACCAAGAGAACCACATTTAACAACAGACCATGAAATGGGAGATAGCCTCTTCTCTTTTCTCCCCCCAGGGGAAGCTTATGGTTTCTAACTGCTCTCTTCCTGCTTTTGAGCTTGAAGAGCCAAGAGAACAAAGACTCTGATACCTGCCCTCTGCCCACACCCCCCAGGTTTTGTGGTTAATCTCTCCCAGTGGCTAGGGGAAGCTAAAATACGCAGCCTATTAGTTTTTCTGACTTTCTCAAGTGAGCGTAGTAGGCCCTAAATAGATCTGAAACCAGTATTTTTTGCAATGCTTTGAGGTAAGGAGTTGTATTATCTCCACTTCGGAGATGAGAAACCAAGGTCAGAGTGGTTAAGAAACATGTCCAAGGACACAGTGCATATAAAAGAAAAGCACAACTCTTTAAGAATGACTTTAGGACAGGAGTTTTCATTGACACTGCTTACACATGTGATTTGGTTCAGAACCAGAGGAAATGTCAGTATGTTCATGCTTCACCCCAACCTTCCTGTAGGAGAAAGAGTGCAGATTCCTAGGATTTAAGCATATTACACAAGTCCACTTCGCCATGATGTTCCCCAAATCCTCTGAGCAGTTATTAAGCAAAGGGTTTTAAGTATCTAAACCATAAAAATAATACTTACACCTCAGATATCTTGAAGGAGAGGATTTTTAAAATGCTGACAAAAGGATTCAATACCAAATTGATGTGATGTTTTGAAATATGAAGCATAGGATTATTAGTTAATTTATACATGGCATACCATTATGTAGTAAACAAAGTGCAAGAAAAAAGAGATAAAATATGTTGAAGATCTGCACTGCAGTGTGGTGAATGGCTACAGAAATACAGAAACACACATACACATATCACATTTTATGCTTGCTGATCAGTAACAATTAATGAAATGCTCAACTTGACAGAAATAAATACAAATGACACTTATGTCATGAAAATAATTAAGTGACAAAACAGAAGAGGAAATATTTTCACAAACCCAGATTTGTTTACATTACTGGCAAAGGTGGGAAGAACAGTGCCCTATTATTTCTAGGGAAATCACAGAATAAAA